GGCCGTGGTCTTGCAAGTCGCTTCGGCTCTGTGTCTGACCAGAGCACTCTACTACCAATTCTGATGGATGCCTCAACAGTAGTCTCGAGATGCTCAAACTTATGAAATTCCATCTCCAGGCTCGGCAACGGATGCTATCTTCCAGCGGGATCAGTTCCCCTGGATCATTCAAGGATCGCAATCCTATTGGCGCGTTGATCACTGGAAGCCGTGGGATGAGGTGCAAGATCCCTGGAAAGACCTAGCTGGGCAATATTTGAAAGTTCTACTCCTCGACTAGCATGATTGGAAGAAACCCCAATTGCCATGGGAGTGTTATTACGACGGAGAACTGTAAGGTAGGTACAGACGCGAGTCGTGAACAGCGTCTACATAGGCTCAGTCGCCAAAAGACTCGTGGGACTCAGGCGCCATAGTCAAAAGGATTGTGCGCCGTCGTTAGTCGCGAGGCGCTTTTTATTTTGATACGTCGCTATGTCACCACGGCTGCTGTGATATGAACATCTTTTAGCTGAGAAGCAACGCGTTCATCGAGACCCACCATGTGCAGAACAACGGGATGCCGATGCACGAATACATCTTGTCGTACTGCCGTGTTATCCAAATCTCAAGTACCAAGCTTTTTGTAGGGGTTGCCGAGATATCAGAATACCCGGTGGCACTGATGCTGTTCTATCCCTTTATGGCTGGGCTACCGGCAGGACTAACGCCAACAGAACACAGCTGTTGGTAGCTTCTTCTTCTAGTAATCCTCTAACGAGATTGTGGCTCGAGGATGCAAGCAACCGCAACGATTGTTCGGGCACCTATGCAGGGCAAAAGGGATGGAACCACAACAGGCTCGTATAGACGTCTCCACCGTAAGCGATGCTGACGCCCAGGTGAACGATCAAATTTAACGTGTTCGTATACTGCATGTATTAAAGCTGTCCCCTCTTGTTGCAATGTGATACCCCAGGTACCCCTAAAAGGCCCATCACGTTCTTTTTGCAGCTCCAGCCCTACCTGCGGTCTCCACCTCCACACTCTCTAATCGCTATACATTACTATACAAACATAATCCTTAATCATGTCGTTCAGTATCCGCAACACCATCGCCCTGGGCGCCTTCTCCGCCCTCGCTGCTGCGCAAACCGTGCCCCCGAAGCTCGACGCAACTTGTGCCGATGTGGTCATATTCATGGCTCGTGGCAACGACGCCCCATACCATGACGGTCGCACTTTCCCCTTCGTCGAGGCCACCTGCGGCAAGTTGACTGCTCAGGGCAAGAGCTGCGACTACATTGACATCCAGTTTGATGTAACCCTTGGTGGAGACTACTGTAACCAAGTTGCTGAGGGCGCTCGCAATGGTATCTCTCAGATCACCGCCTTCAACGAGAAGTGCCCTTGCTCGCACATTGTGGTGAATGGGTACTCTGAGGGAGCTCACGTGGCCGGAGATGTGCTTGGAGGACCGGTAAGCATCATGTGAGAACCGGGCACCCGTGAGGCATGTGCTAACTACGTACTGCGATATAGGGTGGATGCACATTCGTCTCGACCGGCCTAGACAACAACTCTGCTGCAGGCAAAGCGGGTAAGCGACTTCGACGATACTACGGCAATGTCCTTCCTAACATGTTTCAGTCGCCGCGGCTCTCCTCTGGGGAGACGTGATGCATACCGCCAACCAGCCCTACAATGTGCTTGACGGTGCCGACAAGCAGTCTAACGGGCGTAAGCCGGAGGATCTTGCTCGCCTCAATCGCTACGCACCCGTCCTTCGCTCCTACTGTGCTGCCGGCGACCCAGTCTGCGCCGGCGGAAACGTTGTGGCCGACCACTTGAACTACTTTGAACTCTACACCGACGATGCTTCTTCCTGGGTCGTCTCCAAGATCGACAGCGTCGCACCTCTGCCGTCGTGCGGTGCCACCAGCTCATCATCCTCTGCTGCCGCCTCTTCCGCTACCAGTGCGGCCGTCACCCAGTCTTCTGCCGTCGTTCCTACCTCGTCTGCCGTGGTCACTGCGTCTGCTACACCTACTAAGGCTGAGTCTTCTGCTGCTGAGACGCCTTGCTCAACCTCTCCGGCAATGGTTTCTCCCTTCCCTGAGCCTGTCCCCTACAAGCCCGATGCCTGCGTCCTTGAAGTTCACGTAGAGTATGCCTACGTATAGTTTGAGCAAGATGGAGCCGAAGGAGCAAGTACCACCACTACAGTGCAATGCGAAAAGCTGTCAGCAGCGACAGTATTGCGACAATATATACGACGTGTTGCCACCTTCAAAGTCTTGTTCCTCTAGCTCTCCTCTTGTAAAGTGACCGTGTTGTAGCCGCATCATTCGATGTTCCCGAGGTCCGATCTGTTTGTTAAGGCCACTTCAATCTGGACGGAAGCTAGGAGTGTCATTTAAGTTGCATCTCGAAATGAATTTGGAAACACTGAGCGAGTGAACGACGGGAACGTTGCGGATCGCCGGTATTAGCTCAACATATTGAGCTACGACTTTTCCATGTTCCAAGCCTGTCGATACGCGATGGAAGATGACGCCTGTGAGCCTGTGTAGAAGTAGGTGAAACGGCTTTGTATCTTCTTAAATAGATTCCTACACTGCGCTATGTGAACTGAGGTTCCTGTCCGTCTGTTGGGCCGACAGGCGATCGTCACGCAAGTCGAACATGACCAATGGAAAAGTCTTCAAGGATATTTCAATGCACCTCATCAATTTCGCTAGAGGCTAGTCTGTCGCCGCCTTGCCGCTTTTAGCTACGCTACCTAACTTACACTGCGTAATCTATCTTTAATAATAACTTACTAACTTACTTTAAAGTCTATATAGTAGCGCTAAGTTATCTATTATCTACTTATAGTAATTTATAAAATTCTAAAAGAAGTAAGTCTACGTAAAAGAGAGAGAAGAAGACTAATTATAAGTAGTATTACGCAGCGCTATAATTACTGTAATCTTAGCTTTTTTCTTAGCTTTTTAACCTAAAGTAATAGCTTAAGCTATTAGCATTAAATAATAATAAAGCTTTTATTTATAACTTACTTAGAATACTACTTTACTACAGCGCTAAAGTATTATAAAATAGTATTTAAACTTTTTATAAGTTTATAGGCGTTTCTTATATTATTTAAATTAAGAGCTTAGCGTTATTAGCTTATAGCTCTAAAAGTGCTAGCTTAGGCGTAACTTTAGCTATTATAAAAGCGCTTAAAATTATAGAAGTTAGTATTAGAGTTAATATTAGTATAAGTATTATATAGAAGAATAGAAGAAAATTAGTAGTACGTAAGTAGCTTTATATACTATTATACTTAAAAATCTTTAACTTATTATAACTAAGAAACGTTTTTTTAAGAGTTACTAGTATTTTTTTAACTAATAGTATTCTTCTAAATTATTAGCTTTGTTAATAACTATAGTACTATAGTAACGCACTAAATACTTTAGTAAATAATATTAAAGCTATTATAATTATACTATATACTAAAGTACTATCTTAAAAACTTAGCCTAACTAAGAACTAGACTACAGTCTAAGTTAAAGGCGCACTCTATTCTTTCTAAACATGACTAATGCTGACGACCTTGGAGCGAACCGTGGCTGTCTTGGCATTCCCGCGGAGTTCATAGGCATGCACGTCACCTTCCCCATCTCATCGCCAAAGCTCGCCCAAACCTCACCCAAACACCACATCAACGCCGCCATGTACCGGATACGACCGCGATTCGTACCCATTCGCGCTCTACCTCGCACGTCTCAACCCTCATTCCAGCATGTCCGTAGCCTTCCACAATCCCGTGCCTACCAGCAACTCGGTCGCAGTGGCCAGCAATACAAACGGTTCAACTCTCCCTCAGGTGGCCTCTCCGGTCTCCTATTTCGCTGGGCTGCCCGCCCAACGTTTTACCGTGACGTTGGTCTGATCAGTGTGGGCACTGGCGGCGTCTACCTGTACAATCTCGAAGAAGTGCCCGTCTCTGGTCGCCGCCGCTTCAACATCATCTCGCTTGGCATCGAAGAAGCGCTGGGACGGTCATCCGTAGAGCAAGTGCGGCAAGAATACCAAGGCAGGATACTACCGGATAGCGATTTGCGGGTGAAGCAGGTGAAGAGGGTTTTGGAGCGTTTGTTGCCGTATGCCGAGGGCGAAGGGTTGAAAGACTTGCAGTGGGAGGTCACCGTCATCGAGTCTCCGGAACAGAACGCGTTTGTAGCGCCGGGGGGCAAGGTCTTTGTGTTTACGGGGATTCTGCCTCTGTGCAAGGATGAGGATGGCATTGCAGCCGTGCTGGGACATGAGATTGCGCACGTGGTTGCGCATCACACTGCGTTGGTACTCTTATCTCGGACCGATGAAGCATGCACTGACCAAAGAACAGTGAACGTATGTCTCAAGCGCCTCTGATCCTCCTCGGTGTTCTCGCCCTAGCTCTCTTCGATGTCTCCTTTTACTCGGGCAAAATGCTCCTCGATCTCTTCCTCTCCATGCCCGCCTCCCGCAAGCACGAAGCTGAAGCCGATTACATTGGTCTCTTGATGATGGCGCAGGGCTGCTACCGACCAGAAGCTGCAATGCAGTTCTGGACGCGCATGGAGAAGGCTGGTGGGGCGGGGCCGCCGCAGATACTGAGCACGCACCCGAGTCACCACAACAGGGAAGAGAAGATTAGGGAGTGGCTGCCCAAAGCGATGGAGAAAGCTGAGGCGAGCGAATGCGCTGTCACGAGTGGGTACGGTAAGTGAACGCACGCATACGGTATGATGACGAGGATCGTGACTGACGCGACCCAGCTACTCAATTCAGCTCCGCGTTCGATAGCTTCGGACGCTGGTGAAGCGTCGGAAGCCCTTTGACGGTAGAAGACTTGTACTAACACCCTGTATACCACCTGATGACTACACTAACATGATGCACCACGAGACGAAAGAAATGAAGGTCCCATCCCTGAACCATCCCAGATAGTCTTGGATGTGAGTAGATATGAGATGAATTGATGATTTACTCTAACATGAGATGAGAACTGCCTATAAAGGCAAGTATGCTTGCTACAAACAGTTGCAAGCAAGCATCGGTACGTACATAAGGTACATGCCAGCAAACCAACAGATAGTGCGCTATGGGCCACAGGGGAAACATTGTATCGTAATGTCATAATTTCTTATACTCTATTAGCCTCGGCACCCCGGTTCGAGACAGAACATGAACATCCGCCGTCCTTGCGACCCCTATACTCGGTCTACCTACCGATTCTCTCTCCTCGACCTCCGACGCGGTATCATCGAAGTAACTATTCCCCATATCCATAGCCTTTCCCATTTCAATCTCCGTAACGGTCAATCTCCTCTCCACATCGAAATCGAATGCGCCATTCTTCTCTTCGGGTAATGCAAAGTCCCATGGCGATTTCTCGATATCGTCCTCGTCGTCCATGCTGACCAGGTTCTTTTCTCCCCAACTCCCGCGGTATCCTGGTAGAGTGGGTACCTCGGAAGGTGTGGTGGCTCGAGCGGGACAGTGGAAAACATGTTTGAGTAAAGGGGACAGTGAGGGAAGAGAGGCGGCCAGAATGCCAATGTCAACCTCGATTTGGGACCATACTGGAACCCAAGACCAGCCCCTGCGGTTCATTTGTCAGAAAATGCTACTAGTAAAGAGAACGGGCTAGGCGAAGGCGTACCAGCTGAAATCGACTTCTTGCCATGTACTTCCTGGTCTGATGGGACTGTCCGACATGACAATCTCGCAAAGGCGCATGGTGCTGGCTATGACCGGGATGACGCCGATAGAGAGAATGACTGCTAGAGCCGCTGAAGGGACGGTCAACAATGAGCGTTCATAGAGACATAAAGACGTCGACTTACTCCTTTGTCTCTTGTTGAATTTGATCACCCATATCAAAGGCAATGGGAAGATCAACAAGACAATATCAGTGACGACATTGATGGCACCCGAAATGACCATGAACATGGCAGCATTAATGCATCCATCGGGTTGGGCTTCGATATCCCAGACACGTGATACTGGTGTACAGATGAACAATTGAGCCTCCGGACGATGTCAGTTGTGCATCTCGTACAGATAGACGGGCATGAAACTCACAAGGAAGACGGAGAAACTAAAGGCAGTCATAAAGCCGGCCGCTGTCCATACAGCAGGTGACTGCACGATCCATGGCAGGCCCTGTTTTCCATAGCCGATTCGGTAGTACAGAGATAAGATGCTCATCTTGACCGCCCTGCAATAAAGTTAATTTTGGAAGCTGATGTCGAGAGCGATGTTGCAGCATACCAATTTGCGACAAAGTAGATGAGCATATTGATCCATTGGTACTAGTCCACTGTCAGTACTAAGTCGAGTGTCACAAGGTGTGTTGAACATACCATGAGCATCTCGTCGAATTGCTCCACGTGAAGCTCTGATGCATGTCGTCCCTGGCCATGCTCGATTTGTAATATGATGGTGACTGTCTGTGCAGCTCCGAGGGTAACGGCGATGGCGATGAAGAGATCGTCTAGGCCGAATTTCTTGACAACGTATCCGCGCGTGAAGCATCTACATTTTGTTAGCAATACGACATTTGCTCGTGGCGAAGATGGGTGCTTGCCGAAGAGCCACAAACGCCACAGCGACGGTATACATGGCCATACTGACTCGGCCTATGACGGGCCCTTGGTCACGCCCGTTCGCGACGTATACGATGTGCCCCATTGCGAGTTCGGTACCTGGTTGAGCTATACGATGTCCGAAGGTTTGACATGGGGCTACGAGAGTTGATGCTACAACGGCGCAAGGTTTCCAAACGCCCGACTGGAGAAGAGGAAGCGAAAAGCAAAGTGAAGGATGATGGCCAGACTAGAGGCTGGCAGACGGGACCTACACACATCTAATACATCGTGGACGAGTTACGACACCCAAAGTGCGACAGGGCGATGGGCACGTTGCAAGACTCGGCACGGCATTATTGAGGCGGCGCTGGTTGAAACTAAGATTGCCTTCCAGAAGCACATCAAACGGTGCACAAAGAGCCACGCGGCCTGTGCATGCCTCTTGTCGGCATCGGCACTGTGGGTTGTCGCGTGGTCATGGTGCGGCAAGCCCTGTCGCAGCGCGCATCTCGAAACCTTGTTTGGAGCCACGATCCCGGCACAATGGTATCGGAGGTTTGTGGGAGAACATGGCCTCGGGTTGCGTGGGCGGGAGGCTGAACGAATGGTTCGAGTGTTTCTGAGGTACACGGTGATTGGCCGCGCGCGTGCACCAGGCCGACGGGCTATCCCGGTGTGGCTGGTGACGATGGCATAGACGTCTTCTTGGACGTCTCAGGGGGGTTTTCACAAGGGCCTAGTCACTGCTTGCGCTGCTCGGGTGTTGGGCAGACCGACGATCAGATGGCGGGCGATGAAGAAACTCGGAGCATGAGGTCGAGGATCGCCGCGGAGGCAGCCTGGTTTCGGTTACGGGCGGGCTAGCGCTGATGCGTGTTGGACGTTGCATTCACGTCACTCTGGCAGCACCGCGCGAAAAGCATCGAGGCTCCAACAGGCGGGCGTGCGGAGAGCAGAGGCATCCGCCGCAGCCACGACGCCTGCGCGTGTTGCCCAACGGAGCAGGGAAGCCGCAACCCACCAGGCGAGCCGCTCCTGCCCTGAGGCGGCCTCAACGCTTGCCCGCCTGCCTCGACACTTGCCTGCCTGCCTGCCTGCCTCGGGTCGCTGGCACGACATTTGGCGTCACTGCGCTGTAAGCTGGCATGCTCCCCTCGTCTGTACCACACCTGTTCCTCTCCCGCCCCGTTGCATGTCCGCCTACACCTCTCACCAGTCTCCCCGGCCTCTGTGGCCTGCTAGCATACCGCCATCCTCAACCACTGACCATATTCCTCTGCCCGTAGACGCTCCCCTCGCCCACGACCCGCCGCGGCTTGCCAGGCACGCGAGCCATCCTGCATACCCCACCCTGCTCCCTCCACCCTCTCCACCCCCGCCGTTGCCCAACCCGACCCTCGACGGCACCATGGCCGCCCGCGCCACCATCACCTTCTCCCAGCCGGGCGTGCAGCCGCCCGTCTATGTCACCACCTCCCTGAACAATTGGACGCTGGTGCAGATGCAGCCCCTGCACGACAAGACGGCGTCGGGCGACCTCATCTTCAGCAGAGAGTTCACTGGCGTCGCTGAAGGCAGCCACCAGTACAAGATCCGCGTCGGCGAGGACCATTGGGTGCTGGACGAGTCGAAAGAAACCGGTATGTCCTTCTACGTCCTCGTCGACTGTCCCGCTGACTCTCTGCAGCTGCCGTCGACCAGGGCATTCGCAACAACCTTGTCCACGTCAGGCCTGCCAGCGAGAGCACCTCCCTGCGCCCAGCGTCCGAAGCTACCACCGACACAGCCGCCCTAGAGACTCCCCCCGGGAATCCCTCAAAGATGCCCGAGGACCGCAAAGACAGTACAATAAACCAGGAGCAGCTAGCTTACGATCAAACCCACTACGCCCATCTGCCTGAACATGTTGCTAAACGCGCTGCCGACTCAGAACCTGGCCTTGAGGGAACCAAGGTAGACTCCCCAGTCGAGACAGCAGCTCCGAAAACACCCGAGATTCCTCTTCTGGTAGTCGACAAGACTGACCGTCGGCCTGCATATGGAGATGACTTTGGCGCCGGCGCTACGACCGCCCAAAAGGCTGCGCATGACATGAGAGCCGCGGATTCCTTGCCAGACCAGCTCAATATCGTGCCCGAGTTCCATACTGAGCCAGAGTCTGATGATGGCGAAGCTGCTCCATTGTTTCGCCATGAGTCTTTCCAAGCGGATCATGATCCTCAGATCGCTCCCGCTATAATCATCGACGATGAGTCTGCGCCATCATCGACAGACCAGACTAGTTCCGGAGAGGCCATAGATACACCTTCGGAGCCTGACGACAGTGACGAGTTGCATCTAGCGCCCTTACTTAGCCACGAGACGGGCTTCGAGAATGGCGGAGCGGGGCTGAGCGACGGTCCGCATTTTTCCCATGGAACTGACAACGACGATGACGATGACGATGATTTCGGTGGAGCTCCTCTCCTTCCTCACGAGACTGGCTTCCATGATGATGGCAAAATTCCAACCGAATCTGAAAATGACGAGGACGAGCTCGACAGGTATCCGTTGCTATCACACGAAAGTGGCTTCTCGGATTATAGGGGAAGCGAGATCTTTACTAAGAGTGATAACTCGGGAATCTCGGAGCCATGTCACTACGGGGCCTACGAGGACGACGAGGATGACTACGCTGAGAATGAAGAGGGCGATGCACCTCTCCTCCCCCATGAACGCGAAGCATCTGCTGTCAGTAGCACTGGGTCTGTCTTTTCAGAGGACGATACCCCCTTTTCTCTGGACAAGCAACCGACTTTTGGTTACGAGACGGACAACGCGAGAGAACTGTTCGGCGGAGCTGGCCGACACGACTTCTTTAGAGGGCGAACAGGAAGCAATCTTCCCCACAGGCTACCACAATCAGATGCGGAAGATCATGACCTGAACGATCCGTCGTTGGAACGATTTCCCACTAGCCGTCAATCAATCTTGGAACGTGTAGCGACAATTGGCATGCATCTTCCCGAAGATGAATCCATGCACGAGCGGCCACATTCTCCCCAGCCATCTGTTCTATCTCAAGCGTGCTCCTCTGTCGATCTTGTACCTGTCAAATCGTACACCTCGCTAGCTTCTGTACCTGAAGACGAATTCAGCGACGAAGAGGAGGACCACCATGATCTAGACAGTATGCCATCGCCCGTGTACATCAGTCACAACACTACCCGCATGTCTAGTCCGCCCGCCAGGTTCGTTCGTGACCCATACGCAACCCCACTGCCTGATGAGAGCAAGCAACTTGGGTACGCTGTCGACACCAAACACGACGAGTCGAGTAATCATACCCACGAGTCCAGCGAAGCGGAAAGTGTGGATAAGCATGACGGTGCCAAAGACGTCTCTCGGGCTTCCAATGCTCTGCGAGATGCCATCACCGCATCTGTCAACACCGAGAAACCTGCCATGGATCAAGTTACGTCTGAGCCCAAGGCTACCGCCGCAGGTGCGCACCCTGTAGCCGGTCCGGATTCTGACCTCCGGCAGCGCAGAGTACTAGTTGAAGACTCTTCAGAGACATCAGAAGATGCGACAAGCGCAGTGGTAGATGGTGTCAGTATCAAAGACAAGATTGTCGAAGCAGCGAGGCCTGCACTTGCACAGCGACCGAATCATCACAACGAGAACTTTCTTCAGCATTTCTTCCGAGTCATGTTTGGGCCCGTCGGTCACCTCATGACTGCTTGTTTTGGCGATCGGAAGCGAGCTAGGTGAGCGAACACCGTTTCCTTTTCTCCCTGAATCCTTGAGTATGTGGCTTGTGGCGCTCTTGCCTCGTACGAATTCCATCACACAATGACAGTATTGAGTGACGCCATTGCTAACACAAAAGTTTCAGTGCTTCCGCTCTTGTTCTTGGTACTGGTGCAGCGACTTACTATTACGCTGCGAAAGCATCAAGATGAGCTTGTGCCTAGTGCACGATGATCAAGATTGCGACACCTCGGATTCACATTACGACGAACGCGGAAGGAGCATAGCGATGCGGTATTGGGTTGCCGTGAATTGGACTTTCCTACACCTGCGTTGAGCATAACGAGATTAATGACCTGGGTTAGAGCATGCGCTTGGGCGCGCTGGCGTTTTATGTAGCATTCTCTCTCCTCTTTCCACCTCGACAACCTCATCTTGCGTCGACAAATAAATCAATGTGTTTGTTTGCTGTACGTGCTTGTACCGATGAGCATCTTGTGTTTGACAGTGAGACCACAACCCAGAGCTAATATCAAGGTGGCAAAATCACGTCCAATTAGCATGTAAAACCGTTCTTGATGTAAATGTGCATTGTATCATAGTCTTATTCCTTCTGTGTGTTGCGACACAGCGGTACTACCTAGGTATCTCATATCTCATGGCAAAGGTTTCTTCATGTAAAAACAATGACAAGACTCAAGTCTAGTGAAGAAAACGTCAGCGAGTGTAACACAACCCAACCACCATGCTACCCACTCAGGAAAAGTAGAAGGTAGGTTACACGCGCGGAAACAGGGGAGGGAAAACGCGACCGTGACTGTATCTGATTCTTCTCACAGACGCGGCCTGTTTGCTCCACTCGATTGTGCACTCACCGACTTGTTCTTGACATCGTATCGGTCGTTGTTCATAATCTTCTCCCATCCGGCAACAAACTCCTTGACAAACTTGTCCGCGTTATCGGGTGAGGCGTATGTCTCGGCGACGGCGCGGAGCTCGGGATGCGCACCGAAGACAAGGTCGTGGCGAGTGGCGGTCCACTTCTTCTGGCCGGACTTGCGGTCAACGCCCTCGTACAGCTCCTTGCTTGCATCAGTTGCCTTCCACTCGGTGTTGTTGTCGAGGAGGTTGACGAAGAAGTCGTTGGTGAGTTGGCCAGGACGCTTGGTGAAGACGCCGTGGGATGAGCCGTCCCAGTTGGCGTTCAGCGCGCGCATACCACCGGTGAGGACAACCATCT